ATGACGAATTCGACCATCTTTTGAGAATAAGTAGGAGGTTTTTATGCAACTCCCCTTTTCAGCACGGTGATTCGGTGAATAGGAATAATGACCTCGGACGACAAAACCAACAACGCAGGAACAAAATCAGTATGATGAGTTCAACTGAAAGCTTTTACCTTCAATTTGAGAAATGGTCCTATGGTGTCTTTGAATGTGTATAGTGTCAAATCACCAGCACACAAATCAACGGCGCTCAATGACAAAGTCAACAGCACACAAATAACCGTGTGATTAAAGTTCATGTTATTAGATACATAATGACAAAGTGGGAACCAGCATGAGCAAAGACATGTGACACACAACATTACATACATACAGACATAATATGTAAGCATGATAGGATACAATATATTACTGCGATGGAGGAGATTTTAAAAAGAGACTCAACACATTTAATTACAAACAAATTATATTGATGTAGTTATGTAACAATAATAGTTTATATCACTGAATTATATACATTTTTTTTTTGGTGGTTTCGTGCCTCAAGAATGAAAGGGGGTCTGGGGGTGTTTCACAAAGATCCTAAGTCAAACTTAACTCTAAGTTGGACTTAAATTTGTAGCCTTAAAATAAAATATGTTCAAAGCGAAAATTCAAGTATTTTAGACTTCTTATAAATTCCACATCAAGAACATGAATTCTCCTTGATAATAGAAAATTATGAATGATTTGAATCAACATTTTATGTCTCTTAAAAAAGCTTTTACAAAATAATTTCAAAGATGCTAACGGCTTTCCATAATTGTTAAGTCCAACTTAGAGTTAAGATCGACTTAGGATCTTTGTGAAACACCCCCCTGGTTGAATTGCGGCCTTTGTTTAATAATTATAGATGTAAGCTTTAATATGTCACATCGTCAAGAGATATAATTCAGGACAAATCAATTTTTACATAGTTAAAAAAATACAAAACTTGGTAAGCGTATGAATAATTTAATTTCAAATTGTATAAATATATATATATATATATAGTCAAACCTGCTTTAGTGACCAACTGTCTACAAAGACCGCATCTTTTGTTTATCTTGAAAATGATTTATCATTGAAACATGTACTAATTTTAAAAGGAACCTGTCTACAAAGACCACTTTTTGTGTTTCCCTCGAGTGGTCGCTATAGACAGGTTCGACTGTATGTATATATATATATATATATATATATATATATATATCCTTACGATGAGAGAATCTACTGGCAGAACATACACTTTCCATTTTGAACAGTGCATGGCGCCCTATGGCGTAGCGGTGAACCAGAAACTTTAGAGGGATATTGACATTATGAAGGGGCCGGCTATATAAATCTTATAATAAGAATAATTATTCTGATTATTACTGATACATGTATTATCATCATCATAATTTCTAGATTATTAGAGAGAGGGAGTGTTGCTTATCTATACTGATTCCGAAAGGGCGTATACTCACTTAATTGCTGATCCACAAACGTAATGCTATCAACAATCTTGTATTTGGATTACGAAAACATCTTTAACACTGACCTGGTTTCCTTTAGTAAATTGTTTTGGTTTCTGATCTGATTTTGAAACAAGTGACTTTCTAGTAGACTGCTGGAGAAGTGTGAACTGGTCAATGCCATAAAAATAGACTACGTGTCTATAACATATATTACCACAAAGAATCTCTGATGCACAGGGCATTTCTCTCTTTGTAAGTTTTCAATTGTGATCGCTCTGCATGCTTACAGTGGACCGGTCAAGGGCGGCATGGCTGAAAGTAGACTTCAAGAAGACTGCCACTGTTCCACAAATATTTGTTTTTCTCTCCAATTAGATCCGCAAACTTGAAGATCACCCACGCATAAGATCCAAACAATAACGTGTTAAGCTGTCAACAAGTTGAAGGCCAAAAAGCCAGGATACAACAAAAAGAATCATGCAAACATCTGCACAACGGAAGAATCTGTTATGTGTTAGGATGGGTACCAGATAAGTGCCCTTTTTTTTAGCCGCTTTATATCATGATCATGGTTTTAATGTTTGAGCCGATCAGGAGCGTCATGGCGAAACGGACTGGGGCGCTATATACACACTAATACAAGAAAGCTATCAATATTATTCTACATAATTCATGTATCATTGTCAATATAGGCAGTGTTTCTTCTTTCTATCTTCTTCTTATTATCTTTGGTTATTTAAAATACTAAGCGCACATATTGTGGGAATAGCCCCCGACCTACTCCAATAATATGCTATGTACTCCATTGGTCCATATAGTTTGATTGAATTATATTAGATATTTATAAAAACACTTGGAGAGATCGTCGATGTATTAAGTGCTATAAAAGCCCAGATTATTATGAATATTAACATTATCATTATCATTATTATCATCATCAGTATTATCATTATTACTATCATTATTATTATTGTTGTTATTTTTATCATCATCATCATCATCATCATCATCATTATAATTACATTATCATTATCATCATCATTATTATCATAATTATTTCGAAAATTATTATAATTATTATCGTTATTATTATTATCTCAGTATCATCGTTAATCACAAAACAATCGAAAAACATGTGGTATGCTAACCAATTTATGGTTAACCTCAGTTCATGGCAACCTTACACTTTACCCCGATATAGCAACGGAGTTTAAACACGCCATCCTCGAAATTATAGAGCACTTGTGGATCCAGACAGAGGAAGAGAGTGGGAGAGGGAGGAATAGAAAGAGAGAAAGAGAGAGGGAGGGATAGAGAGAGAGAGAGAGAGAGAAGGGGGGGGGGGTAGAGGAAATAGTCCCCGATTTATTTCACATTGATTTCATGGACGCGCGACTGACAGCATGAGGTGAAATATATTTACGGATGAACACCATCGAGGGTTTATTTATTTAAAAAACACATACTCCCACTTCATGACAAACAAAGAGTAAACCTTTAAAAACCATATCCGAACTGAAAAATGGAACAGATGAATTATACATCAACGGAAAGCTTATAAGCCGTAGGTTACGACAACATCAATTAAATGCCACTTTAGTGTCAGTCAGAGGAGTATCAGCTCTCTGAAAACTCAAAATCCAAAGCTTAGAAAATCGGAAGTTGTCGACCCTAAAACTTGCTATCGACTTGAGGACATCATTTTATGTAAGGTACGCATATTCACAATGACTTTGCATTAATTAAGCACGGCTCATCGCCTCAGCTATATAGATGAACCGATGGAATCCCATGTTATGTCGTCCCTGTAACTTTGGCAAAGTTGACCCCTGTTGACCCGTAATTTGGAGGGGTGTTGAAAATAAGGTTTTAATTTGCTTTTGTGCAATAATGAAAGAGTAATACTTTTTATTCCTTTATATCTGTATTAAACATTAATTCAGTTTTCCATTGATATCAAGTTTTATTTTAATCGGATAGGGCCTTTAACATTCACGGGACTATCATGAATAGCATATTGTTTGTCGGTTTGGTCGGTTGGTTTTATGACATCTTGTATTGAGTGTTGCTCTCGGCCTTCACCTTTGTTTCGTTTTGCTTTTACGGTTTTTAACCTTGTTGTTTTAACCTATTTTAGAATAGAAAATAAATGTATTTGACGAATGGTGTTTTTCAATAATAATTATATCATCGATATGAACACTCAAAATATGTAAAATAGAAACATGAATAGTAGAATCGACATGTCGAAGCAATTCAAGTCTCTTTTTGGGCAGGAAACCCAAGTATGTTCGTAGTGTCATCACAGTCGTCGTGCGACTCTCTACGATTTGAAACCGATTTGGCCTTTACTTCGACAAAAAGGCTCACGGTGTGCAAAATTTCGGTTTTGAAATATTCATAATCATTGTTCTGCTTCTCAATTAGAAAGATTAGATTTGTTTGAATTTCCAAAATTTAATGGGGATTGCATTTTGTCGGATCGTATATGGGAGGTTAAGTCTACCGCACACTACATTTGACTACGATCCTATTTGGGACTAATTTGCGACATCACTTAATATGGACGCAATCGCAATGATCGAGGATTCGAATTGCCGTTCCGTCTACAACCAGTTCGTCTATTACCCAATTAATATATTCCCGTATGGTGTATACCCAGTTCGTTTACTATCCGCATGCCATTGGCCTAATAACCATTTCGTCATCTTATCATTTGGTCTAATTTCCATTTGGCCTAATCTTTAATAAGTCGGTCGGTCTAATCCCCAGTTTGTCTAATGCCCCCCTCCGTCTGCTATCCATAAGGTCTAATAATTATTTGATGATTAGTATCATTTAGGAATAAATTATTGTTAGACCATATGGATACGTTAGATGTGCCTTATATGGGAATAGATTTGGGTAGGAGACGAACAGGTTGTAGACCAAACAACAATAAGCCTGAATGGTCCAACGTTTGATAAAATCTAAATTTCATGGGATTTTGATGCTTCCTCTTCCTTGGAAGAGGGAAGGCTAAATCGGCTCGGGATTTTTACAGCTGACCAACAAGTGCGATTATCTACGATTTGAAGTCGATTTGGCTTTTATTCTCACTAAAGTACTTAAATGCACCAAATTTCGGTTGTTAGTGTTCTCATCATTATTTACAACCTGAATAAGGAAGGCGATATTTGTTTAGATTTCCATATTTCATAAATAAAATTGCCACTCCTTCAAAAATCAGACCGCAGGACGATCGTATAGTGTGCGGGAAAATTAAGATGGCGCCCTGGTCCTTTAAATGCGATAACGTTCCGCTCCTGTCATATATTTTCATACCTTAGTACTGGATAAATTACTTTAAAACAAAGAGTTTCCTACATTCAAGATGTGTTTAGGATCACAGTCTACATGCATTTCCTTATTATTAATACCTGATATTTTACTTTATGCTATTGCAGACGAAATGACTCAAATGAATATACTGACTGTCATTTATACGTGGATTAACATTCACGTTCATTTATTTATTTTCGATGAAGGAATAATATGCTTAGCATTGTGATAAGTAACGTAGATATCTCAATATTAGGAGCCGAAGACCACAATCAAAGCGGTAACGCAATTTCTATATTTATCGAACTATTATGATCGCAAATACTTTCGAGAATCAAAATCAAAATAAGGCAACAAAAATATTACATAATCCGAACTGTATTTCTATAGGCTGTTGATATTGCCTTCGAATTGACGCGTTACAAAAAAATAATATATTATCCTCTTCGTTCATGCTTTTATGACATGCGTTAATCCTCCCAAGATTTTGACGGTTAAAACCTGGCCCATTTCAATGCCACGTGGTTTAGATAACCACGTTTACAAGTGAGATCAGAATTCTGATATATTGTGCCGCTATCAGATCATGAATATTGGATAAGAGCAAGATTTATATATTTTTTTAAATCACTGTTGCCCTCTAACGTTCAGCTCCACCATATGCATATAGCAGAATCACATGACGTTAATATAGATAAAACATTTCCATTACAACAAGGTATGATCAACAATTAATTAAACCAATCCTTAGTTTAAGAGAGAGAAGAGAGAGAGAGAGAGATAGAGAGAGAGAGAGAGAGAAGAGAGAGAGAGAGAGAGGAACATGATTAAATGTCAGAAACATAATCCATGATTGGTGTTGGTGGTCGAGAGTCTAGGCTGATTTCATAGACCAAGCTCGTTGAGGACATGGGTGCCGATGGCGCGCACGGCAGCGTGAATCTCGTCGTAAGTGTCTTGTATCTGGTCCTCAGGGAGAAGGAACCCGTACTCGCCCGTGTCACGGAGCTCCACCGTGTAAGAATACTTGGCCCCAAGCCCCCCTACAGTGTCACCCCAATTTTCTAAGAAAGAGGCGTAGCCCCAATCCTTGCTCGAGCCTGCTGCGGGGTCTGTGAAGAAAAAGAAGACAAAGAAGAAGAAGAAAAAGAAGAAGAAGAAGATGAATAAGAAGGAGGAGAAGGGGAAGGAGAAGGTTAAGACGTTTTAAAGTAAGACGTTTGGAGACAACGGTAGTGTTCATCATTCGTCCTTCCTTTGTGAAAATACAATTCAGTTAAGCTTCCTGACTGTGACACAAAACTATGAAATAGATAATTCACAACAATATCGATAAATATTACTACATGTACTACTAGTACTGCTACTACTACTACTACTTCTGCTATATTTATCAACATCAACATCTTCATTATCAACATCATCTTTATCACTTATTCTATCAAAGTCATTAATGAATAAAACCTTTGCGATAAGCCTCGGGTGAAAATACACTAGGCCATTTGAACGATAAAATGGGAGTAAAATTTGTTTACTAAGCATTGTGAATATAGTATTTTAGAATACGATTTAATTTTGTTCTAGTCTTATAGTTCAATATTTTTTTTTTTTTTATAATTTTTTTAAACACAGGATAACCACATCAGTATTTTTCCTATAGTCACAACAAAACGTGCGTCTTTTTGCACGCACGAGTCCGCAGTTGCAGTAGAGTCACATGCAAACTCCTGCGATTCGTACGTCCTTCTTACGATCCCTCGCAGGCGCCTTGCATCCTCGTCACAAAGGTACTCCCCTCTTGGCGTGCGAGAATCTTGAACTCTCAACTCCCGTGCAAGAGAACTAAAACTGCCGTGCAATGTATTACGGTTCCGTATGACTGTGTACTGCATCACGCAGCTCTGTTCACCACCGCAAGTAGCCCGTGCGATACTCGCAGAAAGCTCTTGAGGTTTGCTAAGAAGTCCAACGGCTTCATGTGTCATTTGCGTTAAACAAAAACAAAGCCGCACGCAGAGATTATTTGACAACCATGGAAAAACCTCCTGAAGGCGCTTGTAAGTTCTGCGTTCCTTTAAAAAAAAACGCGCAGACTATTGCGTCCGACGCAATGACTTTCTACGAAATTAGTCGTAGAGCAGACGTAGAGAGGTGCACGACCAGTTGTGACCATGGCTTTATACCATCCTTCCTGCGGGTCCTGTAACTACTATTTACCTCGGCATTGCTAGGTACACATTTAAAACACCTTGGCCAAGAGACACAGACTGATGTGGGCAAAACGAATTGATCAAGAAAGTGAGCACCGAGCAAGGATCGAACCCGAGACCTCTCGTATAAGAGCCTTCACCGATAAACCACGCTGTTCCCACTAGATTCGTATTGACTTACACAAGATTTCTGCTCCTGCTCCATAACCATACACTTTCTGCGAAGTGGCCAAAATAGCATCACTCATTGCAGTAGCCATTGCCATCTAAATCATAAGGTAAAATGAACAGACATGATTATGATAGATTTGTTTGTCTATTTCATTATTTTACTTACATAATACATAAAAGAAACAATTTGAAGAAAGTAGATATTTTTACACAAAAAGAACGTTCTCGATAAAATGATTCGACTATGTTTTTCTTAAGGATATGAGGATTGAGAAAACGGCCAATGTAAAGCACTAAACAATTTAATGAAAAGTAAATTATTACAAGGCATGACGGAACAAATAAGATAACTAAAAAATGTAATAATATTACCTGGTCATCGTAGTCCTCCGTACGAGGATCTGAGTCGAGGTAGGACCACGGTGAGATGATGACCTGTGAGTAACTGTGCCAGTCAATGAACACCATGAAGTCTTGTCCCTCGGTCTTCTTTTTCCGTAAGAACGCGACGACGTTGGCGACCTCGACCTCGGAGAGAGCCTCAGAACCGTGATAGATGTCCGAGCACGGCCATGGGCTGGTTCCGACGCCTAAACAAGGACGAAAAACACAAAGCCAAATTTAATAACAGCAGCAATCGGGTTGAAATTTAAATATTAATACTAATTTCCAGTAAGACGTGGCAATTAAAACGACCAAACCCAACAATCAGTGACCCGGCATATGTTCCCGCGACAAGCCGGCAACTGATCCGGGCTTGAATTAATTTGCGAAAAGTATAGGACCAGGCTTAGGGCTGAAATGGGTTTTTGGTTAGGTCCAGTCCTAGGATTATTGTAAGTTGCAGTGTTTGTAGCAGAAGACAGTAGTAGACGTATAGTAGCAGCAGCAATGTTAGTAGTAGTAGTAGTAGTAGTAGTATTGGTAGTAGTAGTATAGAAGTAATAGTAGTAGTAGTAGTAGTAGTAGTAGCAGCAGAAGCAGCAGCAGCAGCAGTAGTAGTAGTAGTAGTCGAAGTAGTGGCACGCTGTGAAAAGGTTGGGCAATGTTTTCCAACACTTTGCCAATAGTCAACCCAACCATCTATTGGGCAATATTTTCGTATTTTGCCCAACAGTTGGTCAAGATTTTCCCAACAAGTGGGCAACCGTGGGCAGTTGAGGGGTCATATCTTTGCCCAAATTTTGGTCTGAATACGAAACAATTATGCACGTGTGAAGTAGGGTACTTACGTTTACCAATACCGCTGGGCAAAATATTGCCCAATAGATGGTGGGGTTGACTATTGGCACAACGTTGGGCAAAGTGTTGAAAAGATATTGCCCAACCTTTTAACAGTGTAGTAATATTCGAATTTCTCCAAGAGAGGTGGATAGAAGAAGTGTGCAACTAATGAAATAAGGCGTGCAGAGCACAAGAATAATTTTGCCTTCGGCCCAATACTTTTGACTAGCTGTGTAAAATTTGAGAATGTAATACTCTTATAATGTACCTCCCCACTGGTATGGCCAGTTTCTGTTTGGATCTGTACCGGTGCATGCAGCACCTGCATTGGGTGAACGGGTCTTGCGCCACAAACGGTCCTGCATTAAAAAAAAACATGGTATAAATGATAGTTCAAGTAAAATTAAGTCTTCTACTTATAAAGGTATTCATGCGCTCATAAGTTTCCCATGCTTTTCCGTGGAATGATTCTTTACTCTCATTCTGTTTTTTAACATGCTCAAACCTTTGAAAAGCTTTCCAACAGTTTACTCACTCCGTCTCTTGGCTCCGCGTCGTTGGTTTCAAGACTTTGTATGAACTTATCAATTTACTTTTTTGTTTTGGAAAGGTATAGAAAAGGGTCACACTTTCATCTTTACACGACCCTTAATTCCCCTTCCCTTTCACACCATCATTTTCTCTAATTTTGATACGATTTTTTAACATTTTGAATCTTGGAGTGGGGCGTGCCCTTTAATTTCCCCTACTCTATTTAGATAATGACCATTAACCTTCGATACTGTGATGATGTAGTTCATATATTAGCATGTATTTATCAGCAAGTCGAAGGTCCATTTACTGTCCCATACGTTACCAATAAAAAGAAATATAAACAAATAAATGATCATCGCAACTGTGACTGTCCCCGTTATTTGATCTGGTCCAGGCTCTAGTAGGGCTAACTTGACAGAATCATCGGATGTGCATAATACAATTCGTATTGTATACCACATGTATTATAGTCTAGGCCCTCTAATTGATAAAAACTCCAGGCATGAAATTCACTACCGACTGCTAGGCAGAAAAGCAAAAAATATTGACCGGGCACAGTTCTACTCGCGCATACGATGCTGGGACGTCCGGACGCAATAAATACTCTAGTCCAGAATCTGGCCGGTTCTTCATCATTCTATTTCCTACAAATGAATCAAGCCACCGAAGATGGCGTTATCAACGAACTCATATACGCTCAGGAGCCCAGCCTATATTTGTTTCGCCAGGCGTCCTAATTTAATGATCACGCCATCTTCGGCTGACAGCAAGTTAATAATTGCGTTGGTGTGGTGGAGATCCGGGTGGAGATCAAAATTAAATAGGCCAGGTTCTGGACTACAGATGCTCATGAACAGGGCCGTAGCCAGAGTTTGATGTTGGGGGGGGGGGGGGGGGGGGGGGGGGGGGAGCACATACATGTAATCGATCGACGTCCTGGGGAGTATCTTGGATTTTTTTTTTGGGGGGGGGGGCACGTGCCCCCTCCGCCCCCCTCCCCGTGGCTACGTGCCTGCTCATGAAGCCAACAATGGATGCACGCATTATATACTCGCGCTTCTCTTAGATTTAGATTAAATTTCCCGACATTTTCAAATAAATTTTAAACGGCATACTTAATTCATTGTCTTTTTGAGAATCCAAACGTGAGATGCGGTATACAAAACTAATATTGACTGCTGAATTTTCGGGTCCCGTTCAAACTACAGCTCCTTGGTGATCTCGAGCCTGCACTATATGCTCCCTCAACTTCGTACAGTTTCTAGATTACCTTGGGCTATAGTTTTATGATGGGGGTTTGGGTGTCCGTACACTTAACCAAAATAAAACCTTCTCTTTTGTCTTGAGATATAATTAAACAAAATATATTGAATAAATAGCACTAACCATCATGAATATTTGTCCCAATATAATATTTTCTAACATAAGTTTTAGAAAATTTATGAACTATTGCTTGTAAGCTTCTTCAAATTGCTGTTTTAAATTAATTGTTCGGATACGCAACCTGCATGTCCGGACACACAACATATACCTATAACTGTGCCTCTCAAAGCAGTTCATATTTGAATATTATAGACGACGGTGGTAACGTATGTGACAAAATACCGTGGACTCGCTCATATTCGTCGTCATCCGAAATATGAGACTGGGCTTGGCTTAATTATCCCCACTCTTACGTTTGTCCATGTGTAGCTGTACCCGTCGGCATTCAGAGAAGGAACGATGTACCAGTCTATATTATCGAACATCCTCACAACAAGATCCTCCCCTGCCCGGTATTGGTCTATAAGCTAAAAGAAAACATGGAAGATAATTATTAACAGTTTTCAGAGTAAATTTAAGAACATCCTATATGATATTTAAAGGTTTATTTAACTATTTTAAATCTGTTTGAGTGACAATGCCCTTCCGTTTAACTGCCTTTTAAATATTTTCATCTGTGTATGATTTTTTCCTTCTTTCTACAGTTCAAGTTCAGTTTAATTTAAATAATATCGTACTATTGTGCAAGTGTTTCACTTTGGTAATCTAGATCACTTTTAAAATTATCAATTAGAATATTAACTTTGCAGCGTAAAATAAGAGATATATTGACATTCGGTTTTTGCGATTTATCAAACTCTTTCCTTTTTCTTATTCCCCTCACACACACACATTCTCTCTCTCACACACAGTCTCTTTACCTTTTGAGTGAATCCCATGACAGTAGATGGTGAGACCCATTCTCGAGCGTGAATACCGCCCTCAAACCAGACACCTGGAGGGTTAGCAGACTGGCTTCCAGTTCCTCGGATCTGTGGGGGGGGGGGGGGGGGCAGAAAAAGTCAAATGACTGATTGAGATTTCTATGGTTATGTGTCACTAAAGAAGAAAAAAAGGAAAAGAAAAAAGGGCCATGCCGGGTTGTAACGCGTCATGTCTGAACGGTGCTTCAGGGTGTTCATAATGCCAGCGACTAGTTACGGGTTAGCAAAATCAAATGCCTAGTTACACGTTCCTTCTCAACCGCTCATCTCACGATTAGGAATAAAACCATTATTTTTTAAAACTGTATCCTGGATAGTAACAATAATAATATTCCGCTTTTATATAGCACTCAATACATCAACGATGTTTCTTAGCGCTTTGCAGATATATTAATAACCCGGTCATCGGATTCAGGCTTGCCCGCACACAATGTATGCACATTCTCCACTCCCTGTGGAGCATTCCAGCCAGGCTGAGCAAACTACATTAACTTTCGCATCCTACTGGGCAGCTTGCAAAAAAATAATCGAGATGGTTACCCTGAATCCGTTGATCTCTCTTCCTTCATATGATTTTCCGAGCAGGAATGGTTCGATAATGTCACTGTTTTCACTGGCCATGTCAGCTACCCATTGTTGGATCTGTTTACGCATCAAATAAATTCATAAATTAAGTGATATCAATCTTTTCGATTATCATTAAATATATAGGAAAATAGGTTAACGGAAGATTAAATATAACATTGCAGTTCAGGGCCCTCTTGCAATAAAAAAAATGCGTTCAATAATTTTATCAATTTTATCAATATTGCTCTATTTGCACTGGAAAGGTAGGTCCTCGGTTATGCAATAAGTTACCAGATTGTCCTCGGTTATGCGGTAAGTTACCAGATTGTCCTCGGTTATGCGGTAAGTTACCAGATTGTCCTCGGTATGTTATATTTCTACGAAGAGGTGTGTCCTCGAATAAGTAATAACGTATTGATGTGTATTGTGAATCATCGACTTACACATTTACATGAGCTCATATTTCTAATATCATTCACATTTTGAAGAAAAGATAAAATCACATAATCTGATAACGTCTTTATCAACGTAATTTGTCTTTCAAATTTTTTCAAAGATTAGAATATTCAGGATGACCGAATTCAGAATTTTTTCATTTACCTCGTCATAAGTGTGGTAAACATTGTAGTCGAAGTTGTCTAAACGTATCCCGATGGACTGCTCTCCTTTTCGCCTCGCAAGAATCTCAGCCATTTGATTGGATACCAGTTTGTTGACTTCATCAATCATGATTTCAAAGTCCATCTTCTGCTGCTTCAGGAGCATGCGCAGAGTGCCCTGGCCATTGGGTCGTACCATTATATCGACAGGGTGGCCGGGAATTCTTGAAATGCCGGTCCAAAAGTCAAACTGCAAACAAAAAGGTAATTTGAGGGTCTTCGGCTTTGTTTCTCCTCGACAGTTGCTCCGGGCTTTACTTCTTCATAAGTTTAGGGTTGGGGTTAAAGTTAGGAACTCTGTTAGTTTAGGAAATTGACCACTTAGCAGTGGTCGCAAGAGCATGTGTCGTTTAAACAATGTACATGAGTGGAAATCAAAAGTAGTATTAGATTCCACTCTCAAAAGAGTTAAGTACAACTTGAAGTGGATTCCGCTATAACTTTAAATGGATTCAGAAGTCATAAATAAGTGATTCCTGTCTGATAGGACTCTTAAACAAGAAATAGATTTCCATTCGTCTCTAATACAAGAGTAAGCTCTCATAGACAGAATATAGTTTGTCGACATCAACTTTATCAGTTTATCTACATCGAACAACTATAGTGCTATGCTAAGCAGAACAGGTGGTACATTTCACATGAGATAATAACGAGATATTCATCTAAGATATCATGTTTTTCTTTTTATTGTAAATAATGTAATATTGTAATATGTAAGTTCAAATTTGGGTATAGTAAATTAAACTATTAAGAAAAGTTTCTAAGATGAGGCTAATCTCAACTAGCTTTTGCTATTTGTCGGCTCAATTACAAAATGTATAGTTATTGTCAAGCTGAAAAACAGTGTTTTTGAAATGTTGGTTATAAACTTAATGAATGAATGAAGAAATTAATAATAAAAACGACCGTAACTACTTTGATTTTTTTTTAAAGGCAATTTCTAAAGCCATGTACGTCACCTAATGAATGAGCAAACATGGCAATGACGCATTGGTAATACAACGTGAATACTATGGGATATACAATAGGGTATTGAAATTACCTTTGAGTTGATCTTTTTCAGAAATAGATGCAATCGTGTTAATATGCCAATTGTAAAGATAAAGTTCACATGTGTGTATTTGCTGATAAGTTGATCACCACTCTGATATATGTTTGGTGGTTATTTTACTTGGCTACTAAAAAAGCATAAATGCTTGTTAGTAAGCAACCAGACGGCCGACGGCTTTAGGTCCTCTCCGAGGGACATGGTAATGAGAATTAATGCCTTACCAAAGGGCACTAGGCGCATCGACTTGGTTTCGAACCCGGGACACCGGATTACGAGACCACTGCTCTACCAACTGAGGTATCGCGCCATATCCTTCCTCCTAAGTTAGTATGAATGATTAATGTACGAAAAACTATATATACTTTTTTCTTACCTCATCGGCCATGTTTTCTTCGACGTAACTCAGCCATCGCATTTGATTCTCCGTCGTTGGCTTTATCCTCCAGACTTGGTACCTGTATCGAGAAATATGTTCGAAGGAAGGTTTTGCTCGTTTGTTTGTTTGTTCTTTTCTTCTTCTTCTTCTTCTTCTTCTTCTTCTTCTTCTCCTCCTCCTCCTCCTTCTTCTTCTTCTTCTTCTTCTTCTTCTTCTTCTTCTTCTTCTTCTTCTTCTTCTATCTTTCTTTCCTTTTTAGACATAGTATTGAACTTAAGCCGACATTACTCATTTCACACATTAATCATTATTATCATTTTTGTGCGAGGAGCTTAAAACTATTTATTCAACAACATGAAACTTTGTTGTTTTTTGTCATTCACTCTGATCCTTTAAAAACGGGGCATTTATTGGATCTTGTCTGAACTTTTTTTTGTTCCGGACTGATCCGAATTAATAAAGAATATGAGAATCGCAGGAATTCCGTTGACAGGAAGTGATCCTCATCAACACAAAGGCTTACACGCGACACAATAGTTATCGCTGAAAATAACACAGGACGTTATACATGTAACTATAGTAAAGTATTTTATGTGAAAACTGCTTCATGCATGTTCAAACTGGACTTAAGCAGTGTTTGGAAAACCTTCATGATCAAGATTACTAAAGCAGGCTTATACATCGTTGCCTATCTATATATTCCTGCATGTTCTTCTAATCATTACTTATCCAATACGCAGATAAAGGCCCACATGAATGAAACTGAAGGCAAACATGATAATGATTATAAAGAAATGTAAAATAGATAGGCAAAAGACCATTGGCACGATCGCAAAGGCTTTCGAAAATTAACCTAAGGCGGATATTGTACGCCACCGATTGAAATGTGCGAACATGACAGTGACGTATATAATATGACCTATTCCGAACTTGATTTCCACGGGATATACACTGTTGGTCATAATGGTGGAATAATTATTTTTACCCCAATTTATGGAATGATTTTGACAATGATTTATTGAACGATAATTTGTGAGTGTTTGTTTTGCGTGAATGCTAAGGCATGTGTATGCTACTATGCTAATCAAGTAGGGGACCTAGTGCCTCATAAAAGGGCACCAATATATCACATCGACACGGTTTTGATCCTGAGGGCTCACAGTAACGAGGCCATTGCTTAGCCACTGAATCATGACTGTACGCAGCGGGGGCTAGAGTACGTCGCCGCCCCCACAAATACAACGGCAACAAAAGCAATATATTATCAATAATTCATTGCATTTTACCCAGACCCCTAACATAAACAAAATCCTCTGTATGGGCATGCCTTGAACCATAATGCATGGCTCTACTGAAGAATTTTCCCAGTAATTTTTCCATCATTATGACCAACAGCTACAATAGGGTATTGGAATTACACTTGAGTTGATTTCTCGAAAGTTTTACGATCTTGTTAATTAATCACTCATCCAGCTTACCCCTCATAATTCGCCGAGGCGAAACAAGCCAGGGAAACGAGTAAAATCAACACCGTCGTACTAGATCTCATACTGAAGATGCTTGTAGACCAGTAGATGGACTGTATTATGATTACAGATCGAGGAGATTAGCCGTATATAGCACAATCTGGAACTCTCGTCTCCACGTATAGTCGTGTGAATATTACAATATGTTGCCATTTAGGGTAGATAAAATGGGCTATCGCGTGTAATATAGATTTAAAAAACTGCATGCCAAATATGGCATTCTGTTCAAGTCTCAGTTTAAAAAATAGTCTGTTTAATTCGTAGCATATTAGTGTTGAATTGAATTGAATTGAATTGGTTTATTGGGAAAAACAACATGACATGCAGCACAAGGCTGATACTGTCTGTTTTTATAAGGTAGTCAGATATTAACATTATAAAACATTACAATCTCTTTGTCTTAAAAACACAATGATATATAAAATATTTCATAAATTCACGAGTACGCGACATCGTTTAGTTACGTGCTATACTGTATAGTCACCATTAAGATCAGAAAAGGTAATTGGAAAATAAGGATTGAACCATGAAATGATGACTCAATTCTTTCTGTCTTTCTTTTTTCTTTCTTTCATTCTTTCTTACATAACAATCGTGTTTGTTGAAACATCTATCTGTCTCTCTCATTCCATCTTGCTGGCTACTTCTTACTATTTCTCTCTCTGTCTGTCTCTCTCCCCTCTCTCACACCCTCTAACTCTTTCTCTATCTCTCTCGTCCCTTTTTCTACATTATATTACTTCACTACCACTAGCTGTATTCGTTCCGAATTAAAACTCGTGATGATTCTGAACTCTATAATTCATTTAATCAGTTGCCAATTCATAATATTCATTCTTATACATCCTTTAAGATTCTAAACCATTTACAACCGATGTACTATCAAAATTTTTAAACATTTCAGACGATACGCGATTGTGCCTTTAAGCTTTTTTTTGAGTGATTAAAGGTAGCCTATCATTTTATGGGTCCCTGTTATGACTATGATAATTGTAGTAAAATTATTGTACAATTAATCAATAAATCCTGATCATTGAATCCTTTATTATTTCAAACTTTGTTTAAAACCTATATTTCCATCTAAGACTGAGCTTTTGTACAATCAAAGCGTTCGCTGTTAACCAATGGCGCGCACGGGAGTCGTTATTATATCATCTCTAAATGGTAGAATTAACCATTACACCATATAAATTATAATCCTATGTTTTATTTTGATCAAAACTACGGTTTTATAAAATTCTTTTCTTTTCTATGTTATATAAGCTCGTTGAGTACACGTTCATCAATAATGCGTAGAGCCATGTGTATCTGCCTTTAATGATAAAATCAATCATAAAATCATATTAACTAACGTCAGATGTTTTATTTCTTGATCAAAAGCTATGGTTCAGTTTAAAACCCAAGCACTTTTACAAGCCAAGCTCGCTGAGTACACGGTCACCGATAACTCGCACGGCGGCGTGTATCTCTTCGTAGGTGGGCTGTATCTGGTTCTCGGGGAGTGTAAACCCGTATCTGCCCGTGTCACGAAGCTCCACCGTGTAGGAATACTTGGCCCCGAGCCCCCCGTTGGTGATGGCGCCCCCAAGTTCAAACGTGGCGTAGCCATAGTCCTTACTCGAGCCTGAGGATGCATCTGTAATTTTCCACACATAAACAAGAATAAATTACCACACTTACTTAGGCCCGAAACGTAATTTCATTTCATTTATTTATTTAAAACATGGTTCCTTCAGCCTAATAGCTGTTTTTCAGGAAGATCGTGTGAATTGAACAATAATATACAAATTATAATACAAACACAAGTCAGTAATCAAAGATAATGGATTCTGTAAATCAAAATCCCACCGATATCATCAAAAAGGCTAAGAAGCAAGCCCAAGGACATGGAATTAAACTGTCAAAACAATAAAATAAATTTTCCATATTTTCAACTAGGTTGGTTGTTTTATATATGTTTGTTTGTTATTTCTGCCTGTTCGCTGTTTGGGCCTATTAAACTACAAATGTTAATAAGTGTTTGAACTATTTCAATGATATAAGTGAGTCTTTATCCTAAAGGGACCTATCAATTTTTCTCACAAATTTAGCTCCCTCCTTTTCAATCCCTCTAATCACTCTTTCTGTAGAAGTTTTAAAAAAGTGAGAACTCTGTTATTTCCATGGGTCATTAAACTAGGATGTGACGTCACATTTTACTACGTCATCAATAGCGTGACACGTTTCGTAACCAAACTTGATCTGCAATATAAAATACAATAAAGTTATACACTTTCTTAATTTCTCCGGCTGTCAGTATCTCTCCCCTTTTTATATTTTAAGTATAAGTCATTTCAAAGGAATTTTCTTGATTATTGATGTTTAATTTGTTGTAAATATTTTACATTCTGTTGTAGGTTCTACATTATGATTGTCTGTTATGTATATGTAAGCATTATATATTTTGTAATAGTGTTTTGTCGCTATTGTCAAAGCACAGCCGATAAGGGCGCATCATGGACCTACTCCATGGGCGCATAGACAGTTCGAGCCTAGCATACTCCAAGAGAGATAGTTGTGTTGTAGTATTTAAACGCGTGCGAGCTCAAAGGTCAATTATTTATGGAGATCCAGATAGTTCCATCCAAATCACAATGCATCTGACCTATAAACGAGCGCGACTTCCTGTGGCGTACCTATCTTTACTCTACTTTCTATGATTGCGGGCTAATTAATTCGAGCTGTGGAAAGTTAAAACCGTTCAACAACTGCTTAACAACTGTCTTGGTCCCGAATATCATCGGTAAACTGGAGGATGATTAAAGTAACTAGTGACATGAGATATATTGTATTAAATCGATAAATGAATGATGTTAGTTAAAGAGGTAATTCTTCCCATTATAACAGCATAATATTGGCCTGTGATGCGAATGCGCCCTTGTCGGTAGTACTTGGACAGTAGCGACAAAACTTTGTTTTCCTTTCTGATAGTGAAAAGCTGATATTGAATTACAATGGCCCCAAAGACTTGGTAAATAACTTGACTTACAGAGAATTTCGGCGCCAACTCCATGATCGTACCGTTTTCCATGTGTGTCTCTAATGGCGTCGGCCATTGCTGCAGCCATCGCCATCTGTCAGTGATTAGAATATAAATAAAAGATAACATGATTGCTTCTTCGCTTGCCCATTTTACTTTATTTTCATATACAAGGCAGATAGTTTATACTTTGTCAATGAATAAAGACAAGAAAAAAAAAGTATCTGCAGCATAATTATAATGTGAAATACTATTATACATCCCGCAGGGAATATGATAATCTAGCCTATAGTCCAATTTCTCCTGATCTTTATGCAAATTGAAGTGTAGCCTATAATACCGGCCATAATGTGTATGTTCCTGATTGGGTACATGAGTCATCATTGAATAGAGTCGACTTGAATCGAATCGAACTGGATTGAACTGAACTGAATTGTACTATAAATCGTATCGAATCGAATCGAATGGGACTGGACTAAATCGAATAGAACTTAACTAAATTAAATTGATTTGAATAGAATTGAACTTGAACTAAATTGAGTTCAATCGAAAAAAAAACTGAATTGAACTGAGGTGAAATGAAGTGAAGTGAATGGAATGGAATTGAATGGAATAAAATAGAACTGGATTGAATAAAACTGATTTTAACTTAACTGAATTCAATCGAATTCGATTGAAATCACTTTGATTTTAATTTTAATTTTAATGATATTGCTGTCACCTGTTCATCGTAGTGTTCGGTGCGAGCATTAGACTCGAGATACGACCACGGTGCGATGATCAGCTGCGAGTAACTGTGCCAGTCAATGAACACCAGGAAGTCCTGTCCCTCCGCCTTCCTCTCCCGTAAGAAGTTGACGACGTTTGCCACTTCGACCTCGGAGAGAGCCTGAGACCCGCGGTAGGTTTCAGAGCATGGGGAACTGCTAGCTCCTACGCCTGTGTAGACATGGATATGAGAAATTTAAAGGCCGTCTGTACTAGTTTAGCCAGGGGGATTAGACCTCCCTGCAAGGTCACTGACATCAAACCAGCTCTCAATACGTAAGAAAAAGGGATCATGGGGGGTCAACAGGCACCGATAAGGCATTGTTTGCGCTATAGAGGGCGCAAGTAGCTATACGTAGTGCAGTGGATCTTTAAAGCTTGTTCAGATATGGCGCGGTGAACCACTGCAAAACAAAAAAACACACACACAACAACAACACAGGCGCAGGTTTTTGTTTACTCTATTAAAATCATTCCCTCAAAACATCCGAAATTAAACGTAAAGGTCCCCAAGTACCTCAGATACATGGAAAAATATGTCTCAATATTACGATAAAAAGAGTTCTAAAATCTATAGAAAATAAAGCGAATTTCTTTTGGTTGGGCAGCTCAGGCAGGGGAGGGGGAAGGTGAGCTTTTCAAATAGTATTATTATATATTTGGCACTTCAAACATACAATAGAAGGTACAATAGAATGGCAACATGGGATACAAAGTATGAAAGAATAGAATTGGTTTCCCCTGCTGCACCTCCCCAAGTTGCCTGGAAGAAAAAAAGGAATGTTTAATTCCTATAACCCGTAAGACTTTTCTTCCGAGCTTTGCATGTGCTTCCTTTCCCATTATATCCGCCACTGCATAATAGTGAATTATTACCGATATACATGCAGGATCATATTATTTCTCAACTCGGAGACAAGGAAAGAGTGAATAAAAGTGAACAAAATTTAGAATAGGAAAACGATGGGAAGGGAACAAAACACATAAAGATACTGTAACAATTATCAACTGATTACCATAATCAATATGAACGTGAAATAGGAATCCATCTTTCGTTCCGCATAATAGCGCTGAATTACGTCACACGCATTAGTCCCCATTTCCCCACCCATTTTCCCATTCTACAAGCTTTCGGGTGCTTATAAAAAAAGAGTGGTTTCCAATAAACCCCGATATAACCAACAAGTATTATGTTAAATTAAATATAAAGCTTACCTCCCCACTCATAGGGCCAGTTTCTGTTAGGGTCCGTTCCTTTGCAGACTGATGCTTTGTTTGGTGATCGAGTCTTGCGCCACATACGGTCCTGTGAAATATCAATAAACAAAAATATGATGGTTTTATTTACGCAGAGTAGCTTCATCAGCATTAAAAATGTTTTATGTAATTCTGCGGATTCTGCCCAAAGTAGAAAAAAGCCTGGAAAGAGAATAGTTACGTAGTGTTAGGGTTAGGGTTTAGGGTTTAGGGTTAGGTTTAGGATATGGGTTAGCTAGACTTAGGGTTAGGGTTAGGATTAGGGTTAGAGTTAGGGTTAGGGTGGCCTTGAATGTGAGGAATAGTGCGTAACTATTCTCTTTCCAGGCTTTTTTCTACTTTGTGAAGAATCTGGAGAATTCGTCTTATTCTGCAAGCATTATTACTCCCAGCTTTGCCAGCTAGCTATCCATTCGATAAACATGAGTCGAGAATGACTGAAATTATAATTGAACCCAAGACTTCTTGTTTGAGTAAAGAGCCTTTTCCAATATATCAACAGTGCCCTTGGGGTGCGTTTATTGACCAAATTTTGGCTAGAATCAGGTTTCTCAAACGTCTTTCAGGCAAATTTAGAAGGTGATAAATGCAAAGCCTTTTTTAAAGGTCTTTAGATATGGGCATATCTAAAGACGCAAAAAGGTGTGTTTTGAATGTGACATACAGCCAGAATCACGTTTCTGAGAGATGATAAACGC